GGAAGGGTCGGGGGTTCAGTCATGTGTCTGGATGGATTCGCTCTCGCTTGTCTATCGCCCTCGCGCGTGCGACTAGCTTCTGTCTGCGTGGGGGAGGGAGGGGAGGGTTTGCGGGACTGGGGTGTGCTGATGGGGCGCGGATTGATCTCTCCTCCCCTTGAGCCTGTTTGACTCTGCATGCTGATGGGACTGTATTTGTATGAGTATCACGGACACACAGACGAGTGTTACGGTTAATGACAGTTTCCCCCCCCCCCTCTCATCACCTGAATCATCTGTCGGGAGTGCTTTCACAATGATGATGCAGTTCAACTGGAAGGTGCTGCTGCTCACCGCCGTGGTTGTCGCTCCTGCGGCTGTGCCGACGAGTGGTCTGGCGAACTACGGCAACTGGTGTGGATACAGCCGTGGCTGTGGTGTGGGCACCCCATGCCCCGTGATGGACTGTCGTGACGGTGTGGACTGCGTGTGCAAGGAGCATGACCGATGTCTGAACCAACATGGATACCACAAGTGCGGCTGGTGAGTTGGTGGAGGGGAAAGGGGAGAAGGCAAGCAGCACAGCACTTGAGCATTCTCCCATGGCGATGTCTGTCTGTCTGTCTGTCTGTGACTGTTTCATGAATGATTCAGCGACTTTCACTTCATGAGGGACCTCCCTGGAGCGTCGTGTTCCACGCCAGAGTGCCACGCTTACAAGGCCGCTGCACTTGCTGTCTTCCAAAAGAAGCCGTGTGAATGCCGCAAGAAGCACTGCATCCCCTGGTTCGGCGGGAAGAAGTGCTGGAAGATCAAGTACCCCGGTCTGGGCGGGAAACCCAACTGCTGACAACCTTCTACTCAACTCGACACGTAAGTGACCGGGCAGACAGCCATTCTCGGCCCCAGCCGAATCCTTTGCCTCTCACGGCTGTACATGTGTTGTTCTGCAGGTGGTTGTCCAACTCACATCGCCTTCCGCCCGTACCGATGAGAAGATGTGAGTTTTCTCTGTGTTGTCACGCCTTCCTTGTGTCTGTCGTGCCTGCCTTGTGCACGGCGCACTGGACGCGTTCGTCCGTGAGTTCGTGCACTTAAAGAGTCAGGCAGACAAGTAGGGGCAGCTGCTCTCCTGTGAAAAGAAATTGAGGGCATTGTTTTATAATGAAGGGTTCGCTTGCTGTACTGATGATGTGTGTGCGAGTGGGGTTGGGGTTGGGGTGTCTGCTGCTTCAGTCAGGTGCCCGTCCACCGAGCTCTGATGTCCGTGTGTGTGAGTCAATGTGGGTGTGAATGTGTATAGGTGGGTGGGCTGGGTGGGGCCTGGTCGGTCCGTGTGTTTTGTCAAGTGTCCGCTTGCTCGAGTGGGACGTGCGAATGGACAGGAACACTAGAAACGGATCGTCTAATATGTCACTCATCAATCATGCACCTGATGAACACACTCACGGCAGGCCGCCTGTCTGTCTAGGTGTCTTCTCTCTCGGCATTCATTCACACGTCGCCCTCATCACTCTCGTCCAGATGCGCCCTGCACACACAAGAAATTGAAACACGTCACTGCAAGGTCCAGCCACGGAGATACAAACACCTCATAAGCTGCTGACTGACCCGTTGTTGTTGGGCTGGTGCGGCGGGGGGTGTGGGTGTGGCGGCACCCCAGGACCCTGACCAGGCGGGGTGGGATGAGCCTCCTGATGGTGGTGATGATGGTGATGGGAGCCCGACTGAACACACACACACACACACACACACGCTCTCACATAACAATGAATGAGATCTCGCATGTGTCGGTGAGTGTCTGGTCTGTTCATGCACGTACGTGTGAAAGGTGTATGACAGAGCTCTGTCCCGACATGATGTAAGCGGCCAGCGAGAAGACCGCGGCACCGAAGTAGAACCACCGCCGCCGCATGTTGGCCCTGCTCTCGTCCTTGTCCTGACCCTCACCGCCCCCCTCCTGCCCCTCCTTGCCCTTCCTGCTCTCCCGCGGGGGCATTGCGCCCCGCAGGAAAGTCGCCCGGTTGGGCCACAGGGCCGGCTGCCTCTTGAGCACCGAGTCGCAGAACTGCACCAGGCCGTGCTTGGACCGCAACACGGCCGGCACGGGGCTCGACGAGGGGAACGGCAGCGAGAACAGGATGGCCAGCCGTGAGAAGACCCTCGCCTCCAGCTGCCGTCCCACAGGCGCCCTCAGCCGCCTCTCGAGAGCGATGAGGATGTCGTGCAGCTCGTCGGCCACCACCCCTCCCCCACCCTGCATCGACGCCGCCAGCCGTGCGTGTGCCACAGACCACCACGAGAGGGGCAAGGGCATGGACTTGAGCAGCAGGGGGGCGGTGAAGGACGAGAAAATGTCGGCGTCCACCCATATGAGGTGGTGGATGATGCAATCAATCTCATCCACCATGACCGAGAAGGCCACGTCATCGCTCTTCTCGATGGCAAGGCCGTCATCCTTCTTGGCTGACGGACTGGCGGACATCATCTCCTGCACATGCTCTGCACACACATACACACACCCGGGCCGGGCCCAGGCATCCATTGTCTGACAATGAGCTAATGTCGCCGGCTGACCGTAGAGGGACGAGGCGGAGATGACGGCCTCCCGACTGATGCCGAAGGGCAATGCATAGCCGCCTGATCAGACAAGACAGCAGCACAGAAGGTTCAAGGCACAGTCCTCACAGCATTCGTCTGTGGCCCCTGCTGCGAGGCTCTGCACACACCTGCCTCCATGAACGGCATTGGTTTGAACTGGACGTCATCTCTCCCGTGGCACAGCAGCTGCAGCTCCAGCAACAGAGGGCACACCGGGAACGCGCCCTCTCGACCACCTATCGAACGAAAATGACATATGATGAGGGCCGGCGATGCCGCGGCGTCCGATGACATCGATGACACGGACCGGAAAGATCCACGACAAGGCAGGACCTGGTGCGAAAGCTGCGAGCTTCGCCGAACAGCCAGCTTCCTGTTGAGAAACCAATCAGGCTATAGCCGAGGTTGTCCATCTGCGGGCCGACACATCGTTTCCTCAACACTTCCTCACTTCAGATCACAGCTTTTCGGCTGCAAATGACTCATGCATCATCGCAGACTGTTGCTTGATCATCCCCGGCCCTCGCCCACCCAAGAAGCTGACGTTTGCCGACAAGAAGCTGGACATATGTACACAGAAGCCAGCTTCCTTGACAGATCCACCAGCTTCCTCACTGCAGATCACAGCTTTCTGCCTGCAATTGACTCACTCATCATCACTGCGTGTTGCTTGATCATCCCCGGCCCTCGCCCACCCAAGAAGCTGACGTCCATGTATCGACTGAAGCGCTGTGTGTGTCTTGCAATGCGAAAGATGTGATTCAAGCCAAGAAGCTGTCAGTCTGTTCAAGGAAGCTGGCTTCTGTGTACGTATGTCCAGCTTCTTGTCGGCAAACGTCAGCTTCTTGGGTGGGCGAGGGCCGGGGATGATCAAGCAACACGCAGTGATGATGAGTGAGTCATTTGCAGCCGAAAAGCTGTGATCTGCAGTGAGGAAGCTGGTGGATCTGTCAAGGAAGCTGGCTTCTGTGTACATATGTCCAGCTTCTTGTCGGCAAACGTCAGCTTCTTGGGTGGGCGAGGGCCGGGGATGATCAAGCAACACGCAGTGATGATGAGTGAGTCAATTGCAGCCAGAAAGCTGTGATCTGCAGTGAGGAAGCTGGTGGATCTGTCAAGGAAGCTGGCTTCTGTGTACATATGTCCAGCTTCTTGTCGGCAAACGTCAGCTTCTTGGGTGGGCGAGGGCCGGGGATGATCAAGCAACACGCAGTGATGATGCATGAGTCATTTGCAGCCGACAAGCTGTGATCTGCAGTGAGGAAGCTGGCTTTTCGGGGAAGCTCGCAGCTTTCGCACCAGGTCCTGCCTTGTCGTGTCTGCTTCCATCTTCTCGCTTAGGACATTTCGTGAAACCGCTCTCTCGCTTCAAGCTCACAGGCCACTTAGGACATTCCTTGGGTTCCTCTGTGCATGTGGAGCGTGCGTGGGTGATTCCTGTTGCGTGTCGTCGTTTGATTGTGCGTGAAAGACATGGGACTTGGCCGTCAGGCCGCTTAGGACATTCCGTGAAACCGCTCTCTCACTTAGGACATTTAACTGCCTTCCCCAATCGGCCAATGGAGTCCTGTGGCGACGCGTCGAGCGAGTTCCCATTCGGACATCGCGTAAGAGGAGGAAGCGACGCTGAGTCCTTCGCGTACACGCCATGCGTATGTGTGTTGGGTCAGACCATCAGCGCATCCTCTCTCCCGCGCGTCGACTCACAGACTCTGGATCTTGGAAGTCCTCTGCCTCAGGTACATGAATCTGTCCATCCTTCTATCCGTCGCTCGTGCATCTTCGTGCAGCGTGAGGAGTTTCCCTTTCACTTCAAGACCGTCATCGAACCCTTCAGCATCAAGGTGGTGGAGCCAGTGGTGCAGACGACCTTCCACCAGCGGGCAGAGTATCTCCGTCAGGCGCACTACAACCCGTTCCTGCTGCGGGCCGAGGATGTGCTCATCGATCTTCTCACCGACTCAGGGACAGGGGCGCTCTCATCACAGCAGTGGGCCGCAATGATGAAGGGCGATGAATCCTATGCTGGGGCGAGGTCATGGTTTCATTTCGAGCAATCCGTCAAAGACATCACAGGTGGACAGACGCGGACAGACACGAGTGCATTTGGACAGGTGCCGAACGGTGCTGTCGTGTCTGGTGTGCAGGTCTGTCACATGTGCTGCCAACGCATCAAGGGCGATCTGCCGAGCGGATTCTGTTCCATGCCATGGTCAAGCCGGGGCACATTGTGCCGAACAACACGCACTTCGACACAACTAGGTCAACCGATCAGGCAGATCTCTCTGTACCAGACGCCCTTACCGTATCTGTATCTCTCGATGTTTGTGTGCAGGGCCAACATCGAGGCCCGCGGGGCGACGGCGCTTGACATTCCCATCCCGGAGGCCCGAGTGCCCAGCGTGCACCACCCATTCAAGGGCGACATGGACCTGGAGCAATTGCGCAAACTGCTCAGCGACAGCAAAGAGCGGGTGCCGTTCGTCATGCTCACCGTCACCAACAATTCTGGGGGTGGCCAGCCCGTGAGCATGACCAACATCAAACAAGTCAAACAGGTACATACGGAGGGATTGTCTCCCTCGTCTGCACAAATGGAAATAACAATCGTGCCCTTGGTTGTGCTTTGCGTCAGGTGTGTGTCGAACACGGCGTCCCCCTCATCCTCGATGCGTGTCGGTTTGCGGAAAACTCATGGTTCATCAAACAGAGAGAGAAAGGGTAAGAGAGATCATGATTGCGACTACCCGCGAAATCCTCATTTCTCCCGCCCCAACCATTTGACAGGTATGCGGACCGCTCTCCCACGTCGATAGCCCAGGAGATGTTCGCACATGTTGACGGATGCACCATGAGTGCCAAAAAGGTACACACACGACATCGACATCATTTGCCCTCCGCCACTTGCTGACATCGACACAAGAGCCGGGGAGTCATCTTCTGTCCGCCGGTGTGTTGTGCGTCCCTAGGATGGTCTGAGCAACATCGGTGGGTTCATCGCGCTGAGTGCCTCCCTCTCCGATGTGGCCGAATCGTGTCGGAACCAGCTGATCCTCACGGAAGGTTTCGTCACCTACGGGGGGCTCGCAGGTCAGTCAGCAGAAACGAATATGCTATCACGCAATCGCTGAAACACCCTGCTGCCTGATGTGTGTCAGGTTACGATCTCGAGTGCGTCGCTATTGGTCTGAAGGAGGCCTTAAACAGCGACTACCTCAACTACCGTATCGCCTCGATCGAGTACCTTGGGCGCAAATGCAGGAAGCTGGGCATCCCCATCGTTGAGCCCACAGGTAGCACACACGCGCGGATGCCGTCCATGTATTCCCCTCTCTTGCGTGGCGTGTGCAGGTGGTCATGCGATCTACATCGATGCCGCCTCGTGGCTGCCGCACATCCCGTCCAGCGAGTATCCAGCATGGGCTCTCTCATGCGCCCTCTACCTCATCGGAGGGATCCGCAGCGTCGAGATCGGCTCAGTCATGTTCGGCCTGCAGCCAGACGGCACGGTGGAGAGCCAGGCGCCCATGGAGCTTGTGAGGCTAGCGTTCCCCAGGCGGATGTACACCCAGGTATGTGTGCACGTCCAGACAAGTCGGCGAGGGCCGCGGGATTTGTGTGTGTGTGTGTGTGTGTCAGTCCCACGTCGACTATGTGGCGGAGGTGATGGCGGCCGTACAGACGGTGGCTCACAAGATCAGAGGGATGAAGATCGTGAAGCAGCCGAGTGCTCTAAGGCATTTTTCTGCCCATCTGATGCCAGTCAGCGGCGGACTAGTGGAGGGGATGGGCATCTAGTGTATGAACGGGTGTGTAGAGGGACGGGGGCCCGTTTCTCGTGGCAGTTTTCCTGTGGTTACGCCACTCCTGATGCCTGATGCATGTTGTTCCACGTGAGTTTCTGTGTACAGTAGAGTTTGGAGCTCAACACTTCTCCTGTGCAGTTTTCTGTCGGTGTGCGCGCCCAGCTGTGAACGCCACGTGTGTTTTGTACATAGAGAGGTAGAGAGTGTACCGTGGTTGGTGGTGGTGTGCTGGGGTTGGAATCGTACGGGCAAGAGAGGCGAGAGCTTAGGCAGTGAGCAGAGGGTCTGTCAAGTGCACTCACTCATTGCAAGTCGACTCAGAAACGGACCAGTCCATTCGTACGGCACCAAGACAGGGGGGAAAGAGTGTATCAACTGAGATTGTCCGCTATTTTGAAGCAGAGCGAGCAACGGAGCGGTATTCTCACTTGAATCTTGTCATTCCTTTGGGCAGTCAACTCCTCCAGGAGCACGACGTCGTGCTGTCCTTCGTGATCTCTCTGCTGCCCCGTGAGGCTGGGCGCGCTGCAAGCAGCCTCCCTCAAGCGAAGTAAATCAAACGGGGAGGATCAGATAGAGTCGGACGTGTGAGGCCTTCTGCTCAATGAAACAATGAATCACACCTCTCCGAGCGGTAACGGAATCGTTAGGGTAGTAAGTGTTTTACGGGCGGATTTGTTATCCCGACCTCTACACTTCTAGAACGCAACGCAAGGGAGGCGTAACCTCAACCCACCAGACAAGACAGCCTCGCCTGTCGGTCGTGGTTGCTTGCAGTCCCCGTCCCAGGCCACGCACTCTCCTCCCTCCCCGGTCTGTCTCGTGATCCACTGATTCGCGTCATCGCCAGTCTGCCTGCTTGCCATCCGCCTCTGTCGAGCAATCGAGCTGCCGTCTCCCCCATCCCGTCACCCTTCTGACTGTGCGCATCCCAGCGGATGAAAGTTTTCAGCCAGCTCGTTCCCTCTCATCCGGCAGGCCTGTTGGCGTTTTGCTTCGCGTGCTGAGTCTGTCGGTCACTCGGGACAACTGACAGAGCCAGCCCTTCCTTCCATCTGCGAGACCTGTTTTCCCTGGCCTTCATCCCCTCTTGTGCTTTACGTGGCACTCGCGCCCTTACAGTGACTGAGGTGAGCAGGTGGGGAGGGAGAGAGGCGTGAGCCTATGGTGACCATGCATGTCCGTCTCGCTCGTTTCTCCGCCCGTCTCCCTGTGTGGATGTGTGTCGTCAGGTTCTTCGGTCGGCCTGACGCAGAAACGTCCCTGCGAGTGTCCGATTTTCATCTTCCTCATCGTGAATCGGCTAGTGTGCCCTTCTTCTCCGTGCTTCCGTGCCCTTGTGAATGCCACAAGCGCCCCGCTTTCCAGCGACAGACGACCATGAGTGACAGCAACAGCCACCAGATAACAACAGCCGACGTGAAGGCGACCACAGCAGCCAGTGCACATGACCGGTAGGCGCAGACAGACGGACGCACATGAGGGCCTCGTGTGTTCACCTCTCCTTCGTTTCTTGCCCTTGTGCAGTCTCGTCCTTCCCGAGGTGATCCCGCCACCGCCACCGACTTCAAAGTCCGAGATCGACCTCAAATTTTTGGACGACACGCCCGCCGCATCCAACGCGTCGCCCTCCAGCTTCTTCCCGCACAACATGCCCCCCTCACCCTCACCACCCGCCACACTCGGCTGGGACATCGACGAGGCCACGTTCGTCACGCGATCGAGGTCTAGCCCAGATGCCTGCAGTGAGAGCGTCATCAGCATCGCCAAGCACATGTCGCCGTCTACGCACCCGGACGTGCTCGTGCTGGGCGAGGGCAAGGATGTGCGGGAGCTGCCGAACGCCAGCCCGATGTCGCTGGGACTCAACATCGGCCTGGGCTTCACCCCCTCGTCGACGGCCTCATCATCCTCCATCCGTCCCGGCCCCATCCGCCCGCCGCCCCCCACACCTGAGTTGCGACCTTCAGACATGAAGCGCAACCGATCAGCAGATGTGAGCGAGGGGGCGGCGCCGCGCGAGTCGGCGTTCTTGGCCGACCAGACCGGCCTGAGTGACAGCCGCTACCTGACACCGCAGTCGGTCTTCTCGTGGGGTCTGCTCGACCCGCCGCACGGCCTCGCCGCCACGCCGTCACCGCCGGGCACGCCCTCGCCGTTCGACACGACCAACGTGCAGCCGTCCATGGGCGTCGGCATGTCTGCGGTTGGCGCTCCTCCCGGTTTTGAAGACGAGGAGCGGCCACGGACACTCTCACACGGCGTGCTGGCCACCCAGAGCGAGCCCAACCGCACGCCGTTCCTGCACCACGGCGACGCCATTCAGATGCCTCCTGGCATGCAGTCGCCGCTGCCCATCGCCCCGCCCTCCCCCATGCCACCGAGCCTGGGCGGCGGTGTGTGGGGCGGGGGCCACTACGGCAGGGTTGAGCGAGGGTGGGGGGACAACAATGAGGCAGGGCGGAACGGGCACAACACCACCAACAAGAACCACAACAACAATGGGTATCGGCTGGGGGCAAAGCGAAGCTCTGACGACTCGGTGAGACGAGGCGAGAAGCACACACACAAGTCCAATGCAGACAACCACTTGTTATTCTCTCTCTCTCTCTCTCTCTGTCTGTCTGTGTGTGTGTGTGTGTGTGTGCAGCCTTTACCCGACTGGGCGGCTGACGATGTGGCGAGCCTGTCGCCGGACACGTTCCAGTTCCTCCCCGACCCTCTGGCGTCACTCCGCGACCAGACCAGCACCACGCACTCGTCATTCTCGCCCAGCAACCCCGCATCCTCACCACCGTACTCACGCAACCCACGAATTGCCGTCAACACGTGCCGCTCCAACGGCTCGAGCAGCTCAGACGAATCGCCCAACACGCCCATCGACCCGCTGCAGATCGGCATACCCGACCGCCGCACCAGCGTCGAGCAGCTGCCCCGCCAGCCGCAGCACGCGGCATGGCGGGAGCGCAACGTCCTGACGGTGCGTGTGGACATGCCACCACGGACGGTCAGCGACGGCTCGCGTCTGCCGCGGTCGGCCGATGACTCGGGCGGCCCGCTGACCCCTCTGACGCCCGGCAGCACACCGGGCAAGTATGTGCCGCCACACAAGCGGGAGGGCGCCACGCCCCGCACGCCGCTGACGCCCCTGCGCGGTGACGGGCGAGGTGGACGTCGGCCGCCGACGCCTCAGGAGCGGCCCGTGCTGCCGAGGAAGGAGGGGTGGGGCCATGCGGTGGAGACGTACGTTGGTGAGGTGTCGCCCAGCCATCCCGACTACGTCCCGATGCCCAACATGGGTATGCCAGGGGAGAATGAGAAAATGAGGCACACATGCATCATAGGTGTTGTGTTCCGTTTGTATGGGATATCAGATGGTTTGGTGGACACGACAGAGGGCAAGACTACAGTGATGTGGCGCAACATCCCCTGCAAGTACACCGTCAGCCTGCTCAAGTCCATCGTCGACCCCCAATACAAGGTGAGCAACACAGCTGCCACGTCAATCAATACAGCTGGCAGCAATTGTCTGTTGTCCTCTTGTGTGTGCGTCAGGGTCTGTATGACTTCTTCTACCTGCCCATCGACTTCAGAAACAAACGTACACCAGAGCCAGCGACATGCGCGGCTGGTGGTGGACAGACGTTCACTTGCTGTGTGCTCTTCCTTACCTGCTTCAGGCAACATCGGCTACGCGTTTCTGAATTTCCTGCATCCGTCGTTTGCGGATTCGTTCACCAAGCAGTTCAACGGACACAAACTCAGCCACTTCAAAAGCAACAAGGTACACACACGCATACACGAATGCGCCACGCACACGAATGATGAATGACGGACGGGTGGATTGTGTGTCCTCAGGTATCGGAGGTGTGCTGGGCGCACATCCAGGGCCTCGACGCAAACATCGACCACTTCAGAAACTCTGCCGTAAGACCTGCATGGCATAATACGCACCACGCCTATCACTTGTCCCTCCCTCGTGCTGCCGTGTGGTTCGTTTGTTCAGCTGATGTCCGTGCCCAATCCCGACCACAAGCCCATCCTGTTCCGCAACGGTGTGGCACAGCCATTCCCCGCACCCACACGCGACCGCCCACCCACTCGCGAGCGCGACACTCCATCCACGGCCACACACACACACCGGTCGGCTGCTCTCGCCGAGGCGCCCACGCGCCGGTTCGTGCAGCGAGACGACTATGGCAAGGGCTACGGGCACCACCAGCATCACCACCACCCAGCCCACCATCTGATGGAGTACGGCTCGCCGTGGGGCAGCAACGGTGACCGGGACAGCACGGGAAAGAGGCGATTCATCCCAGTGCACGGACACCACCGGGAGCACTCGCACACGGGAGGGGGCAGGCCCGACAACAGACGAGACTGACTGATCGACTGACTCAGCGAACCGACACAGTGGTGAGCCAGCGACGCGATGAGCCCTCCACTCACCTCCAGACAGACTTGTGTATGTGTCTTGGTGGTGTATGCGTCTTGATGTGTGTGCAGGGAGGGCGCCCATGCATCACGATTGGGTTACTGGCTGACTGACCGTTGGGATGGGAGGGGGTGCATGGGATGGGGGGAGAGGGCTCATACATACGTGTCAACCAACCAACCACCGAAGCAACTGAAAAGCGTTCACATTGTATGTACGTCTGGCAACGAAGTGGCTTGTTGTCAATCGGGACGCATGCACGGATGGGTGAGTGGATCGATGCGATCCCGGCTCGTCACTTTCTGGGGTGATGCCTTACTTGGCTGGCTTGATGTGAGGGTGAATGGGTGGGTGGATGGCTGGGTGGCTCTGGCTATGCATATTGGTCCATGACTACTACTGTGTGCTGTGTGGATGGATGGATGGATGGATGGTGTGGTGTGGCTGGTTGGTTGGTTGGTCGGTATTCGGGTCTGTCTGCAATAGGGGCGGAGTTGCGTGCGGTCTTCCCCGCTTGCTGTCTACCACTGTATGTTTGTCCGTCTGTGCTGGGGCCCGCTTTCTGTCTGTCTGTCTATCTGCCTGCCAGTGTTCGGGTCGTTACGTAAGATGTCTACCTACCTATATATGTGCGTGTGTATGTAGGTGCTCCTTCCTTATCTACTGTGTGTGTATGCCTTCTGTATGCGTGTGTGGTGCTGTCTATCCACATCTGTCTGTCGGTCTTGTCTGTGCGCAATTAATGGCTGGATGGATGGATGGACGAACGTAGTCGCTTTGTGATGGAGACACAAAGGAGAAAGGACAAACGAAGAGAAGAAGAAGAAGAAGAAGTGAGAGAGACACGTCGGACAGACGAGAGGACAGACAGACGTGACTGCCCTCGCGTCGGCGTTTCACGCCGGCGACGGGGGGCACTAATTTGACGTTCATACGTACTTTCACTCTTGGATTGCTGGATGGCTGGATGGCTGGCTGTCTGGCTGACGGATGGATGGATGGATGGACGGACGGATGGGACTCATTCTGGGTGGGCTAGGTTGGATGCTCAATGTGTGATTGGCTGAATTCGTGGGTGAGTTTCATTGCACTGCATTGCATGGCGTAGTGTGGCCTGGTGTGCCGGCGGCCTACTTGACACACAGACAGACAGACAGAGACAGATGGACAGCAGAGACCTGATGGATGGATGGATGACCTGACAGCCAGCAACGGAAGGAACGAAGGAAAGGCCTGTCTGTGAGTCAGCGAGCCACCCTCCTAGTGTTGTCATGTTGCTCTTGTTGTTGTTTTCGTGGGTCACTCACGACAGTGACGACCCACCAACTTGCCTGCCTGCCTGCCGATTTCCCGACTGCCCGAGCGTATTGCGTGTTGTGTGTGGTATGTAATGTATGGTGACACGAGAGAGACAACAGAGAGGCAACCTGACACAGCAGGCAGACAGACAGACAGACCCTACCCTTCGGTACAAGGGTGGCTTTCGTGCTTCTTTGTCCTTTCGTCGTTCGTCTTCTCCTTCTTCCCGCTTTCTTTCGCTGGGATTTTCACACACAGACACCCCCCTCCCCTCCCGCTTCCCCTCCCTCTTTTTCTCTCGTCAATTCACATGAGCCGATAGATAGGTAGATAGCCTGGCTGGGCTCCATCGTATCGAAGCAGAACGCTAGGTTGATGGGTGCCCGCCGGTTTTGATCGCATAGCTATATACGTGCGCTCGACACAAGCACCAGGCGAGCCCGCACGGACATAGCTCAAATGAATAGCCGATAGATGGCTAACTGCGAATGATGCATGCACCGTGACGACTGCAAGGCACCGAGGGAGACAGCGATCGGTTCAACGCCCTGCAGAAAAGTTATACTATCACACAGTTCTCACGTTTTCTTTTCTTATTTCTTTCTTTCTTCATGTTGATTTTTCGCTTTGTTTTTGTCCCTCCGCTTCTCTTTCTCTCTCTCTGTCTTGGCGTGCGTGAGTACATGCCACCCAACTACATGATTGCTGTGCATACCTATCAACGGTTGCCCATCTCTCTCTCGTGTCTCCGTGTGTGGCCTGTCCGTCGTGTTAGCTGTTGTGATGTGACATCTTCTGATCGCACTCAATCCTCCGATCCCGAGAGGGCTCTCACCGTTTTCTTCTTTTCGGTGCTGTCTGCCTCAGGTGATGCTGCTCGGTAGTGCACTTGTTGTGTTTTCGTGTGGCTAGCTGACTGACTAGCTGCCCGGAAGGCGTAATGTGTGCCGTTTTGCTGGCCCCGCCTTCATTGGATCGAGGCAGAGAATGAAAAGGAACACGAGCCCTCTGGAGGATTGACGTGCTGATGCTTGCATGATGTGGCATGGTGTGCATGGTGTGAATGGTGTGTATGTCACTGTGTGATGTCATATTTAATCGTCTGCCTGTCTGCTGTGTGTGCAGTGTGCATGGATGGATGTGAGGTGGGCCGGTGTGTAGTAGGGGGGCTGAGCGGTTCTTTTGTCGCTTTTGGAATCAAGCAACGAGTCAGTGGAATCAAGAGGGAAGGGACCTGTGTGTGGAAGACGTGATGGGGTGTGATCCGTATGGCTGTCGGTCTGGCTGGCGTGCAGGCAGGCGTCGCGAAGAGGAGAGGCCGCATATGTAATGCAATTCGATAGCTGACGCCGCACATAACGCCTTCCTAGATGGATGGACGGTGCGGGTCAGGTTTTGCCTCTCGCCTGCTGTGCTGAGCTGCATGAACCGACTCATTGCTGCTCCTGCTGCTTATTGCGAATTGGGTCAATGCATGATTGGATGGATGGGCGTGTGTCTGTGTAGCTGACTGGCTGATGGATGGATGGCTGGATGGTGCTACATGGGTATAGTACTAGGTGCTACGGATGCCTGCTGGATGCGTGTGTGAATGGCCTGCTGTCTGCCTGCCTGCCTCCCTGTATGTCTGTACCTACCCTACATGCCGTCGCACACCACGGACAGAAACAGAGAGAGACAAAGACAGACCGAGGGCAGCCCAGCCCGGCTGGGTCCTTTTTTTTCAACCACAAAGCACTGCAGGGATGTATGTAGCGATAAGGGGACGGACGGGCTCTGGCTTCCTGGCTGAATGGTTGGGCGGGCGGGCGGGTGGGTGGGTGGATGGTTGCCTCTTGTGCATACGTGAGGTGAGCGCCTGTGGGTCATGCCCTGCTTGATTGTATGGATGTACATCAATCCACTCACTCTAGGGGTGTGGGGTCGGGGTGTCTACCTAACTCGTCTATAGTCAGTCCGCCAGTCGTTGGTCGGTCACTTGGTCATTCATGGACGGGAGGGATTGTCGCTCGCTCGCTCACTCACTGTACGTATTACGTCGGTTGCCACGCACGCGCGCACATATGAGGCTTCGTCTTTCTTTTCAAGGATTTTACTTACTGGAGGGAGGACGGACGGACGGATGGATGTATTGTTATGCATGTCATCCATCCATCAAGCCAGGCATGTGGGGGGTTTAGTCACCTTTGTACGTCACGTCCGTGGGTAAGAGCGGAGGAGCGGAGGACGGAACAAGTGGTGACGGCTGATGCATAATATACTATGTACCGTGGAGGGAGCGATGGATATGTAAGCACGCACTTAGTCAAAATCAAGAAGAAGTGAGTCGGCTTCCTTTCGTTGTTTTGTTATGTTATGTTATGTAAAAGGAAGAGCGATTGGTACTTGGTGCAGGCAGAGGAATGGTTTGCTCCTCTGCTTCCTGCGTCGCGTGTGGGTGGGTGTTTGGGTCTGTTTTGATTTTCGCCCCTCGGCCTGGTTCTCAACCAACCGCTCGTCTCGCCTATACACGCAGGGACGCTTTGGTTCTTTTCTATCAAGCACACTTTTTCTCCTCCTCGGTCTGTCGGTCTGTCTTTCTGTCGTCTCTCTTGGTGTGTCGTGTACGTAATGTGTAGTCGCATAGATGGCTGGTAGGCAGCAACTAACACAACGGATGTGTGTACGGATGTCGATCGCACGGACGTATTGTTCTTTCTATCCATCGCTGGCTGGAACGCTGCCCCCTCTTTACCCCCCTCTGCCTCATCTGTCCATTATCGAATCTCGCTTGGCCATTTCTCGCTGTTGTATAGTATCTCTAGGGTGCTCTAGGGGGGCCAACTGACTCTCTGCCTCTCTCTCCCTCGCTCTCACTCTCTTCCTTACACACGCTGGAAACGGCTGTAGGACTCAACACACGCAGCCGACGGATGATCTCACCATTTTTCCCTCAGTCTGGCTTCTTCTCTGATCGTATCTCCCTCTCCCTCTCTCTCTGCCTCTCCCTTTCCCTCCTGTGTGTGAATACTTCCCGTGTCTGGCCTTGAGGCCAGGCCTGCTCTGGTCTAGTCTGCCTGTCGTCCTTGTTTGTCAAGTCAAGCTGAGCTGGGCTGACCCTTGCCTTCTCGCAGCTGCCCTCAAGCGCGCACACTCACACACGCGACAGCAGATAGACACAGACACGAATGCACACACACACAGACATACAAGCCGCAACTACCCACTCCTTTTTGACGATGCTTTTTTGCATTTTTCCTGCCGCTCCCGAATGGACGAACGAACGAGTGGATGCCTCGATGATCTTCTGACGAATATCGTTTTTTCGGACGGTCTGATCCCCACTCGTCGACCCAGCCGTTTATGACGTTGCCTGTCTGTCTGTCCGACTGGCTGCCTGGCTGCCAATTACACATGTATGCGTTCCGCTACTTCGCTCGATCGACTGCACTGCATGCACTGTTGCTGAAAGCCTGGATGGATGCGGCGTGACACAGATAGAGGGAGAGAAAGACAGAAGTTCCGACTTGCAACGAGTGTGGATCGCTCGCGCGGCCATTGTTTAGAGAGAAGAAAGACACACGATCGTACTGACGAGCGGATGAATGAATGGCCAGACACACATGGAACCCGAGAGGGGGAGCAGGGGAGTTGGGGACACAGAGAGAGAGGGCGTTGAGGGCGCCTTGGGGGCACTTTGTTGTGCGCTGCGTCACTTTGCTGTTCTGTCTGTCGGGTGACAGATGGCACGACGGGAGCACCTGCACTCATCTTTCTTCTTGCACCGCGCGATCGATCGAAGGATCGAGGGCTCGGCTCCTTCACGTGTGCCTTCTGCCATCGGACACATACACCCACTCTTCATTCAGTGATTGATCATTATGATGCACTCACTACTCTACTCGACTCGCCTGATATGATATCATATTGCTTACAGACATGCTGCGGGGAACATGGGGCTTTCAAACGTACACACATATACATACCATACATGGGCGTGGCTCGTTAGATGTTGGGGTAATGGTGGCTGGGGGGGCTTGGGGCTGTGATTGGGGTCAAACTGCCTACTCACACTCACTGACTGACTGACTAACTCCCTTGCTCCCTACCGTACGGACGTAGGTACGTCTGCATGCGTGTGTGTGTTTCTCTCTCTGTGAGTGAGTGTCTGTATTTGTATGTGGGACACACCTGCCCTGCCTGTGTGCCATGCATACCCTCACTACACCTGTGTACACTCGTGCGTACCGAGAAGGAGGTGTGCAGCATCCGACCCGTTCCGTCCCGTCCGGCCCAGCCACCCAGCCACGCACATGTGCGTACACACGCACATAAGTAGGCACGTGTGCGTGGATGTGGGTGGGTATGGCTCGCCCGTCCAATCAACGAGGCGAGAAGTTTCTTGAGATGGACGGACGGGTGGATGCCCTCTCCCTCTGTGCGTGCGGGGGTACACACCTGCATGGATGTGTTGTGGGTATGTGTATGTGTATGTGTGGACTGAGCCGTGCTGCATGATAATGTGAGCCGTGCCACCCACCATCACGTGTCGCTGCGTTGCCACTCACCCCCCCCTCGCTGCTTGCAGTTGCACAGGTGCATTTTTTCATCACTGGCTCGATCCATCGATGGATGACATACAAAGATGCATGACCCACTCACTCACTCACTCTCTACTGACAGGCTATCTGCTGGATGGGGAGCATGCCGCTGGCCTGTCTGCCACTTTAGTGATTTGTCGTAATTTGTCGGTGTACCACTTGCTCACTCGCACGCCCCGACACGTGCACCGATTGGAGGAAGTAGAACCAGCACCCGCTCGCTATACGACAGACAGTACACAGTACATGGCGTTTCCCATTACATCCGTATCGACCCTCCGTATCGACTGACGACCATGTACGTATGTATGTGTGTATGTGTGTATCCATCTATCCATCGACTATCTATTTCTCCATTATCCATCCATTCATCTATCCGCATGAACGCGTCAACCGTATGTCTGTTCGTGCGATGTACGTCCGCATTCCTTCCCTCCCTCCTTCCAGATAGACACACCCCGCACCACCTATATGTGTGTGTCCCACTCGCTCACTCACGTCGGTACGTACAGGCATGTTCGTCCGTGTGTGTGTGCGTGCCCATCAAAACACATCCCTGTGTGCTCCCGAATGTGTGCATGCGTGTGGGCTGTAGTTGTGTGACCGGGCTCTTGCCTGCCTGCCTGCCTGCCTGGGTGCAGTGTGTCCTCAATTTCAGAGGTTCTCCCGTGTTTGCCTGTTTGCCTGTTTGTCTGTCTGTCAGTCTGTCTGTCTATGAGCCTGCCTGCATGTCTGCGTATATACCTCCGGACATGTGTGTGTGGCTTTAGTGGTGTGCGTCGTACGTCCTTACGTATCTATCCATCTATATGTATGTGTATGTATGTATGCATGCATGGGTGTACGTATGTATTGGGTGCACTTCCCGTACCTTTCGTACTTTGCCTGCAATGTCTGCTTGCGTGTTTGCTATCTGTGTGTACTACGCTGCATACATGCCTGCCGCTACACACAGCATGAATGGCGTGTCCATCGTGGTGTGCGTCTCTGCGCGAGCGATGAAGTCATTCGCTGACTGACCCACCCCCATGCGCACGAAAGCACCCATCATACACGGCACCATGCGAGCACGGAACGAGATGTGTGCGCACCTTCGTTTGTATGGCGTTTTATACATGTTGTGACCGCGATCGTGCACCCGCACACGCACGTACGCGCAACGCAGTGCCTGTCACGTCCCGCATGCAACACTACCTCCCCTTTTTGAAGCATGCGCACGAGAGAGTCCATCGGTCACACACATATCCATCTATCGTATATCGTATCGCTGACATGTCCGTGGCGGGCCGCACGGGAGGGCAGGGGCACAATAGTGGTCTGTTTTTCACGCCTGTTTGTTTGTTTCGGACACCCACTCGCCTCTCTCTCCAACCGACCGTGTGTGTGTGTGTGTGCTGCGTGGGGATACTATGGATCGGATCGCCCGTGTGTGTGTTTTTGTTGGCCACCCTTTTGGCTTTGGCCTGCCTACAACAGAGCCACTCACACACTGTTGTGGTATTTTGCCTTCTAGGTGTCTGCGTGCGTGCAGCTGCGGGGGAGGGGAGGGGAGGCGTGCGCGCGCGTGTGTGTGCTGGGCGGGATGACGGTGGAGAGACACTCCCAATTCAAGACCGATTAAATGCAAGTAAGTCAGTACACGAGGCAGCTGAGGATTCTATGGCCTCTCCATTCTCAGCCTTGCGCTTCTTCATCGAGCTGGCGGCTGCTGCAGCCGCCATCATGGCAGTTCCCTTCTACCTAATCTCGCGCCTCCGGGCGCGGTCGATCATGGCCGCGAGCTTGAAATCTGAGTTGAGAAATGAGCTTTCCTGATGGGCGAGATGCATCCGATCGCGCCCCTGCGCAGATTCCTCCTCTCACGAGGAACGTGAGCGCTGTGTGCCCGCCAGCAGCAGGTTCGGTTTCCTTTTCCTTCGAGGGCGGGTCCAGCCTGCCTCCCGTGCCTCAGATGTTCCAGCAAGGCCGTGCGTTTGTCGGTTTCGGCGGCGGCCATCCATCGTTTGGGCTGCTCGGGTCCGCTTTGCGTCTTGGTTCGCTGGACGACTCGTATTTGGACGAGGTGCGGCAGGGAGGGTATGCTGTGGTGGAGGAGGATACCGGGGAGGAAGGCGCAGAAGAGGAGCAGGAAGGAGAAGGTGAAAGAACCAGAACAGGTCCATTCATTCACTTGGTTTCGTGTTCAATTTGTGTGGTCAGAACAGGTCCATTCATTCACTTGGTTTCGTGTTCAATTTGTGTGTGTGGATGTGTTGGATGTGCAGGTGATGGTGAGGAGAATGATCTATATGTGGTGGACCATCCCCACGTGCCGCATGGCTACGCCATTGAGTATGACGGCATCCTCGGCCCGCACCCAGGCATGCACCACCACCACGCCCAGACGTCAGAATACGCACAGGGGCCATCCGTCTACACTGGCGAGGGCCGGTAACAAGCACCACGGACCAAACACAACACAACACAACCAACACCGCAAACATGAACATAACCAACTCTCTGCCATGATTTCTTTTCATTCAGCACCCCTCGCCCCTATGGATTTGACTACATCGATCGCCCCGAGCTCGAAGACACCAGCCCCCGGTCCATCTACTATCCCCTCCTCCGAGTAGCAGAGCAGCAGCACAATGCAGACCTGGACCGCAAATACCCGAGAGACCACCCCCCCACCGAAGAGGGGGACGGTGCTGCAGATGGGGGAGACAAAGAGGGAGAGGGAGAGGGGGAGGGCGGCCAGGGGGACGGGGGCGGGGCCAGAGAGGAGGCTTCTAGTGGGGCGGCAGGTGCCGGTGTTGGCGGTGACGTAGAGACGGGGCCCAGGAACTTAGATGAGGCGAAAGATCAAATCAAGGTGAGAAGAAGCATTGCACACACCACTCTTAAGGGGGTTCATGTGTGTCAATGAGTATCTCTCTCCCTATGTGCGTGCTATATGTGTGTCTGCAGTCGTTGCGCTCCAAGCTATCTGCGGCGATCCACACCCAGAATGCGATGGACACCTTCAAAATGAAGGCCGCCGAGGTCAACCGAAGCCTGAAAAGGATAGAACAGGTGACATGACGCGCACGACCGAATCAGCACTGAAACCAATGTGCATACGTGTTTGTCTGCGGCCGGTCGTTTTTCAGCGACTGCAGGTGAAGGTAGATCTGTGCAGAGAGGCGGTAAATCGCAAGGACACACTGCTGCGCAAACTTGTTGAAAAATACCAACAGTCCGGGTGAGCAACAGACAGACGAATGGCAACATAGAACAGGTCGGTCAAGAACTCTTCCCCTGTGCTGTCCAATGCACGTTGATCTGATTAGCGAGGAGCTGCGCCGCGTGCGTGAGGAGATGAAGGCGAAGGAGGAGTCACCTTCCCTCATCGGCAGACACATGAGACGCGAACACGGTACGGAAACACAACACACTAAGGGATTCCATCCCCTCGTTGGCCTGCATGTATGTGTGGTGTGTGCAGTAGCGTCGCACAACAACATCCCGGTCGGTTTGGGCGGTCCCGAGGAGCCAGCCGATGATGCAACCGCCCCAGCCACGTCGCAGCAGCGCAGCCCGGCCAACATCCCCCTCTACCCCCACAAACAGGAGGCCTCACCGACCAAGGATCACAAGCAGTCCCACACTACCACCAATGGCTACGTGACGGACGACGAGCGTGAGAGGGGGCGTCCTGATGTGCCTGCAGAGGTGAGCGCCGCTCGATGACTATCATGTGTGTGTGTTCTCATGTCGGGTTTGTGTCCGCTTAGCCGCGACCTGGCACAAGGAACTTCCGTCGTAATCCTCAGAATTGGGGGCACAAGCAGGACGCCTCTGGGGGTGGGGGTGGGGCCAAGGGCGGGTATAGCTCTGGCGTCGAACATGTGCCCAGACCCACCACCACCACCACCAACCCCAACAGACCACGCAATGTCAGACCGTCAGAGGTACACACACACAACACCACTGGGAAGCGCACTCATCCATGCGAGCCATTCTTTCTTTGTCTTCATGTAGTTGCCTCGTCGCCATGACGCTCGTAGTGGCCAGCACTCGCCCAAGCGCCGTGTCGGCACTCGCACACCGGCAGCAGAGGGCACCCGCACCCCATCCAAGGGCCCCACCCGCACCTCCCTGCGCATGACGCCATCATCCAACCAGTCGTCCAGCGGCAGCCTCACGGCCGACAAGGCCCCCCAGTCCACCACATCGACCGGCAGCACCAAGCGGGCGGCATCACAGGGACGCACCGGCGCGCCCCTCATCCCATCAAGCGGCTATTCGCGTGACAGAAGCATCCCCGCCGTCCCTGGAGGGCGGCGCAAAATGCCCCCGCCAGTGCCGCAGAGCGCCCGAATCAACACCAATCTGGGCACCAGAAGGGCGGAGCGCCCCCCTGGGGCGAGCGCGATGGACACCGGTGTGGGCGGTGGTCGGAGCAAGCAAGCCCATCGTCCGTCGCCCCCTCCACCCCTCAGTCGCATCAATCGGCGCGGCATCAACGGCATCAACACTGGAGACGCCGCCAAGGGGACCACAGCTCACCGCCCCGCCCAGGTGAAGGAGCGGCAGGAGGCTCCCGGCGAGCAGCAGACGGCGCCGTCCATCCCGCTGGTCAGCCGAGCCCAATTCACGCCAGGTCCCACGACGCATTCGGGCGCCGGCCACCAGTCACGGTTGGGGGTGCATGGCGGCCCGCACATGGTGCAGCCGCCCGCGGTGCCGCGCGAGCTGAGGACCGGGGAAGGAGCGTCATTTGCTGCTGTTGGTGGTGGTGCGGAGGGGGGTGGAGCTGCCCGTGCTGCCCGTCCGCCGCCTGCGATCGCGACGCTCAACAGGTTCCAAGAGGACTACAACATGCGTGAGCAGCAGAACGCGGCGTCCGCTGTTCCTCTCATCCCCGAGCAGCAGGCGGGTCTGACCCTCACGCACGGCCGCCCATTCAATCATCCGACTCACCACACAATGCCCCCTCAGCTGCAGTCTGGCCGTCCTCGAGCACCCGGTGGCGTGCCTGCGATAGGCATACAGGTGACGCAGCAAGTGGCGGGTGCTTTCTCCAGCGGTGTTGTCGAGAGAGATAGGTCGATGGCGGCGAGCCAGCAGAGGCCGCAGCTGTATCCGCAATACGGGGGCAGGGGGGCCTCCGGGCCGGCCAACAATTAGTCCTGATAGAACGGGGACAGATGGGTGGGTTGGGTTGGGTTGAGATATTGGCATATCGGTAGAAGACGGGCCACATCTGGGACGTTTTGGCTGCCTGATTGGCTGGTGGGCTGTCTAGCTGCTCGTCGATGCGTGCTTCATGCTCGCATGGATCTGACAGCGTCGGCTGCCGCGTGTAGGCTTGTGAACGGACGAACGGACGGACGGACGGATGGATGGATGGATGAGACTCCCTGTTCTGATGACATAAGGGTATTTCTAATGCATTCAATCAATTTATCTATAAATGTTCCCGTACGCATCAATCCATTCATTCATTCATTCACGCACCATGAGCCATATGCTCACCCAACCGGCTCACTGTTGCAAACCAAACCGAACCAAACCAATCCCCCACCATCGGCACGCGGGCACTGACTACACCTCTAAATGCCTACAAATACCTACTTTCCTACCTACCGCTCGCCGCAGTCTTTCTCGCAGACGACCGAACAAGAACACGCATGCGGCACTCATCATTTCCTGTGTGAGTCGTCCATATGTGTGTCAATTTCTGAGCAGCAGAGCGAGTACGACATTGAGTGCGAATAGGATTATGGCGTTGAGGATGGAGAAGACCAGGTTGAGCATGACGAGCCTCTTGACCTTGGGGGGCGTGTCGGGGCTGCCGCTCTGGTTGAACAGACACACGCAGCAGCCCACAAAAGGAATCAAAAGAGACACCAGCAACATCCACTGCACACACACAGGGGACACACACGGAGAAGAAGCCAGACAAATGTGGACCAAATACGGTGTCTCTCTCTGTTTCCCTTGACCTTGAGGCAGATGAGTTCTCCCTCCTGCTCCATGATTTGGTTCTGCAGGGCCTGCATATCGGGCAGCTCCATCACACCACCACCGGTGCTGCGGCGCGCCCCATCCTCAGACGCACGCGACGGAAAGATCTCCGCTGACTGGCGGCTGCCCCCCGGGTTGGTGCTGTCCCTCTTGCTGTGCTTGCTGTGCTTGCTACGCTTCTCCTTCTCTTCGTGGCGCTCCTCTGCCGCATGGGAATCCCCTCTGACCTGCTCCATGTCGAGAGCCACTTCATTGGACTGCGTGTGGGCCGCCTGCGGTGAGCCCGGCGGGGCCGTGGACGCTGAGGTGGCTAGAGGGGGGTGGATTCTGTCGCCTGCCGGGGGGTTGAGTGTGCCCGACAGCTGGGGCACTTCTCGGCTCGGATTGGTCGCCATCGCTGATTTTCTGCAAAGGGAGACTCTGAGGAGTCAAACTTCGATTCAATATGACCCCTGTGAATGTGTGGTGAAGTACGTGTGATGGCTTACGTGTGAGAAGGAGGGAAATGGCTCTCCCACAAACTACTCAGCTCGCATGTGCCGTTGGGACTTAAACGTCCGGTTCCGTGTAACCGATGGCGTACAGCTTCTAACTCTCCCAGCGATTGTAACCGAGTCAGCCCGTCGGAGGTGTCTGTGTCTGTCCGAGGGGGACTCCCGTGCCCCAAATTAGTTCACCTTCTCCCCTTCTGCACTGGGTTGTCAAACTGACGTGCTCCTCTCTGCAGCCACGGCCCTCCCCTGGTACGGAGCACAAGCGCGGTGCTCCCGCCTGGCTGCGCGTCCCAGTCGCCGTGTGAAGGGAGCCGACAGTATTTTTCCCGGTCCACCCTGCCAGGCGTCACATCCATGCAGTAAGCCACACCAGCTGCTGTGCTGTACGCACGGCCAACACGGCCGCCCGGCGCTGCTGTGTGTGTACTGCAGGTGTTACAAGACGCGTCTGTGCAAGTATCATGTTGCCCATGGCGGCCGGGGCTGCTCCAAGGGCAGCGAGTGTACGTACGCTCACTCCATGGCAGAACTCTGCGTGCCGCCGAACCTTCTCAAGGTGCGCCGACCACACGAATCAGATGGCACTGCTGTCTTCGCCATCATCGTGTGTATGGATGTCTTGTTGTGTGTCATGTGTCGTGACGTTTGCAGACGAAGATATGTCCTGACTGGAAGAATCGTCGGTGCACCAAGGGGGCGGAGCTGTGCCCCTTTGCGCACGGTGAGCGTGACCTGAGGAGCCCGGTGGGCTGCTACAAGACGTCGCTGTGCATGCACTGGAAGAAGGGCAACTGCCCAGCGAGGTGAGTGGATGGGTGGGTGACTGATTGAGGAGGGAGGCAACTTACATATGCATGCGGTGATATTCGCTCGCTGAGTGTCTTGGCGCTATTTGTTTGGTGTCAGGGACCACTGCCGTTTCGCTCACGACGTCAGCGAGCTGAGACAAAGAAGGTGCGCACTCTCACACAACCACACTAACTGCGTGCTGACCTGTACGCCTTTCTCTCTACCTTGCCTGTGTGGTGTGTGTATCAGGCTGGTGACGTCCCCCACGTCCTTCCTCCGCAACAACTCTAACGACGACCAGTTCGAAGAGGTCCCCTCCACGTACACTCCCCCGCCCTCCTTCTTCCCCCCCGCACCCACCAGCCCCCCTCCTCCCCCGCCCATATCGGTTGTGCCGTACTCACCAACTGAGACACCCGCTCTCACACTCACGCCCGTCCTCCCTGCCATCCCGGCCACCCACCCCTACCCCACACCGATTCAGTCACGGTGCGCCACCCCGGGGGCGGCGAGTGAGTCGGTGACGTCGTTCGCCACGTCGCAGACGCAGCCCGTGACGCCCAAGACTCACGGCCGGGTGAACGTGGTGGAGGAGGAGGGCAAAGGCAGCGCCATACTCGAGAGGGAGTCGACCGAGGGCGAGAATGAGAACGAACAAGAGCATGAGACCGAGCAAGAGCAGGAGGAGGCGAGCACAGTGCCCGAGAGGCAGCTGAGTGGGGCGTCCGGGGCGTCCTCCTCCGTCCCGCCCCTCCAGCCGGTGGCCTGCTGGCTCATCGATGCATGTGGGAGCATCGCCGCCAACAGGATCCCCTCCTCCCCGCCACTCACGTTCGTCGGCATGTATGCCGTCAGCGAAGACGGTACGCAAACGCAACGCCCAGCAGCTCTGACGGAACAGAATGGCCATATCTACCTTCTTGCTTCTGCAGACCTGATTCGAGCGCAGCCACGCGCATACGAGGAGTAGCAGATGGCATGGGGCGTTTGAATGCCTCGCCTGGCTGTATGGGTGATGTCGGTCGATGGATGGGGGCATGGATGGCTGCTGTGCTGCACTGAGAGACGTGACAATGCACCTAAGAGAGAGGAGTAGTTCGGATTGTTGTTAGCTTGTTGGCCTCCCTCCTTGTGTGATGTGTACCCTAGTCAGTCTCTGTCGTCGGTTGTTCTATTCTGACGTCACGCGCTCCCGCACTCCCTCGCACATCCCTTTCTCCCCTCATTGTTTCTTCACTTCTTTCTTTGTCACGTGCCAATGTCTCTGCATACATACCTACATCTGCATACATACATACCTACATACGTACATACGTACATGTGTATACATACATATCGGTATTAGGATCATATATACATACATACATGTATAGCATATCCATATCCGTATCGATCGTACTGCATTGCAATCATTGCTACGCATCCGTGTGTGCCGTGTGAGTGTCGGGAGCCCCCTCTCTCCGCCTGTCTGTCCGCCTGGCTGTCTGTCTGTCTGTCTGTCTGTCACTTTATCGTACGTGTGGGGGAGTGCGTGTCTGTCTGTCTGTCTGTCAGTCGCAACCACAACATCACATCCATCCCATCAGTCACCACACCAAACACACGTCTTGTCTTCTTTCTATATAATTTGGCTGTGTGTGTATCCGTCCATGGCAGCCAGTGCAGTGATCGTTCTTTTTCACATGCCCACACGCACGCACCGGATACGTCTATACTATACGTCCACCCGTGTGTTGTGAGAGTACCGAATCGCTCCTTTTTATACCTGGTCTCCGCCACGCTGTCTTGACGACACAGATGCCGGAGGCATACCGTACACACTCTCTCGGCTCGTTTCTCTGTCTGCCTGTGTCTCCGCTAGCTGTCGCGTGTGTGTGTCTCTTATTGTCCTTCGAGCGGAGTTCCTAAAACGAAAGGGAGCCGCGAAGACGAGAGACATGCTCACACGCACCCTCACTCTTTCCCCCCTCCCTCCCCCCTCCCCCCTCTCTCCCTGTCTCGCCCACTCTGCTGCTACTGTTTTGTTTTCTCATCCTCTCTCTCTGCTGTCTCTCTGCTGATACTGTATGTTCCGGCTGGGTGTCTGACGTCTGGTGTCTGAGCCACTTCCATGCATCCACGTGCGGACGCACTCACAGCTGCGCCCTGGGGTGGTTGTTTTCCACTCAAATTAGCAGGAGCGCGCGGGTCGGTCTGTGCGTGGAGGGATGGATCGGTGGGTGCGGGTGTATAGCCTTAGTAGGAGCCATCTAGAGGGCGTGTACAGCTCACTGTGGGCGGTGGTATATACGTGGTCTGGGAGCTTGCCCGAGAGAGACACTGGGACCCTGACATCATGGACCCGTTGCATGTTTCCCTCCCTCCCTCCCTCCCTCCCATCCATCTTTCTTGCTTTCCTGTTTCGTGCGTTGTGTCGCTAGTCGAATTGTAGTTCTTGGCTCGTTTTTGTGTCAGTCAGTCAGTCCGACGTCTGTGTGTGTTGTCAAGTCACCGAGCAAGTAAGGCCGCCCGTCCGTCGGTCGACAGAGCGCTGCAAGGTCCGGATGACGACGCTGCGCGCTCAGTCGTCATATTTTCCAGACGAGACCTCCTTGCGTTGCCTGGCCTTACCTGGCCTGCCTGCGTATGCTGTCCTTTCCTTGGTTCCTTGCTGCCTTCCTGCCTGCCTGCCAGCCAGCCATGTGTGTGGAATCACACACATCGAGTAGGGGGAGGAGTTGAGGTGATGTGTCATGTGCAGCTACTAGGACAGTCTGTCAGTCAGTGAGCTCCTAGGTTAGGTATGCACACAGAGTGGGGCAATGAGGAATGACAGAGGAGTGGCCATGTGATGCAGTGGGTGAGTGCCTTGTGTGTATTGTGTGTATCCTTTCTTGCTTATGCGGGTCTTGCCAGAGATGGGCCAATGTGTGTGTACGTGTGTGGGTGGGATGAGTGTGAGGGGAAAGAGACAGTTGGCAAAAGCATAGACGAAAACCACCAGCCAGCTAGCATGCTGGATGGCAAAACAGTGACCATTGGGACTCAAGGAACGACGAGGGACAAGGACGGCATTCATTCACCATTGGTGAATCCATCGAGTCAGGTCGCATCCATGCCATGTACCCCCATCTCAACCACCCACACGCGGTGCGACAAGCATGGCTTTGCATCTCTGTCGCACAGACAGCCCACTCATTGACCGATGCATGCATCAACCATCTAGACCCTCTTGACGAACTCGCCGGTCTGTGTGTTGACCTCCACCACATCACCCGTATTCACATACGCCGGCACATTCACCGTCAATCCCGTCTCCAGTGTCGCCGGCTTCCGACCTGATATATAATATTTATAAGCACAGAGATAGATACCCAGACAGTGAGAGGCGCGCGCCTTCACACGCTGGCCGTGACATCACGCTATGCCTACTTGCTGCCGCCCTGTCTGCAGCGATTCCCGTCTCTGTCACTTCAAAAGAGACCGTTGCCGGCAATGCCACATCCACCACCTGATCCTTCCACATCATCACCTGCATCATCGATAAACGACGCACACACACACGCCACAGTGAGGCTCGCTGCTGTCATAGTGGCTGTTTCGGCTGACTTACAGTGACTTCCATGCCGTCTTTGAGGTATGGAATGGCGTCAGTGAGCTGCTTCCGCGACACGGTGCAGTCCTCCCATGTTTCGGTGTTCTGGAACACCAGGCCGTCGGGCGTGTCATAGCTGTACAACAACGGCACCTTCTCTATCATCGCCTCCTCCACCTTCTCGCCGCCCCTGCACACACACAGACACAAACACACGGACACAGAGACTCATGCGATTGCCCTCCTCCCTGTTTCCTTCCCTGTGTGCTGCTCTCTGACCTGAATGAGTGGTCAATGGTTGTCCCCGTGAGCATGTTCCTGAGTTTGGTCCTCACGAACGACCCGCCCCGTCCCATCTTTTGTATGTTGAATTCCACCACCTTCATCGGTGAGCCGTCGAGCTCAATAGTCACACCCGGCTTGAAGTCAGCCGTGCTGATCACCATGAACAGACCAGCACTGTCCGGCCGGCCTCGCGAGCGACGCAGAGACGCAAGAGGGCCTGGAGTGGCATACACAAACACACCGACAGGGTGGTTGCAGCCCTTTTGCATCTCTTGTGCTGTCTGCCTGTGTCTTACGTTGAAGCAAGCCGCTCTGTGCTCCACTGTGGAGCATGAAGGCATGGATCTCTTTGAAGATCGTTGCAAAGACGACCACAAGGACTATCATGGTGCATTTGCACGTCATTTCAGCGCCTTTTGCCGATTTTTCGCCGATCGACATCTGCGAGCTTAGATTTGCAAAGGAGAGGCGGTTTTGTGAACGCGATGAGCACAGTAATGACCACCCGAGTGAGCCGAGATCCGCACCTGCTGGACCCGCACGCGTCCACCTCCACCATCGGGGACAAGTCCATCAGCATCACACAGCAGAGCACAGCCAGCAGCCTGCCCTCGCCATACGGCCGCCTCGCCATCGACAAGTATCGCACTTTGGCTTACTATGCAGTGGAGGACATCCCACCTTTCGTGGACGTCATCATCATTGGAGCAGGTGGGTGAGCGGGGGATCTGATCCGGCCGGAAGGGAGACAGACAGATTGGCTGCTGCGGTGGACAGACAGATTGACTTGTGCGTGTTGTGGGTGTTGTTTCTCCTGTCAGGTCCAACTGGATTGTCGCTTGCGGCCGATTTGACCAAGAGGGGCGTGTCGTTTGTGGTGATTGACCGATGCCCCCGCGTCATTCCCATCACCAGACCGCAGACCATCCATGCCCGCACGCAGGAAATACTCGAACGTACGCACACCAACAGCAGAGACGAGAGGAAGGCAGTGCAACGCACACAGTGTGTGTGTGTGTGTGTGTCCGTGTGTGGTGACTCTATCAGAGTTGGGTGTGATGGATGAGATCTTGCGCAGTGAGTCGACGAAGCGCGTGATGGGCGAGCGGCTGTTTGTGGACGGCTCCTGTGTCATCGACTGGGACTTCGCAAAGTGCGAAAACAGCCACTTCAAATACCCAATCCTCGTGCCTGAAAACGAAATCGAGCAGGCCCTCATGGACATCATCGGTACCCACACACACTGACACACAGACACACGCGCGGACGCATATGTGTGTCCATCTGTTTGTGTGTGTCTTTTAGGTCCCGACAAGATCAAGCGTCCCTTGCACATCCACAAGATGAACGCGGGCCTCCTGCCTGACGAGGGGGCGTCGGTCACGGTGCAGCCGTACACACTCACCGAGGAGCTCATCGATGTACGCGCCAACGGGCTGGCCAACAGCAACACTCAGCTGCAATTGAGCGGGGAGCCGGTGACCATCAAGGGGCGCTTTCTTGTGGGCTGCGACGGTGCTGCGAGCAAAGTGCGGCAGCACCTGGGGATTAGCTTCCCGGGAAGCAGCCTGCCCTACCAGTAAGCCACACAGATGGCTGCCAGCAACAACAGGTCTACATCTTCCATGTTATCTCTATTCTCTCCCACACAGATTCATTGACAGCGATGTGCGCATCAAATGGTGGGTGACCCAACCCACCGCCGGCCAAACAGCCAGCCCACGCGGAGCACATCATTGCAATCACGACGCGTGTTTTGTTGTCTGTCCATGTGTGTGTTGTATGTATATATCAGGGGTGTGCCTAGCGATCCTCCCGACCAGTCTAAGTGGCACTTCCTGTCGGCGAACGGGGGGCTGATCTGCTGCCTCAACGTCAAGGGCGACAGGTGGCGTGTGGTCATGGTCAGGCAGACGGCCGTCGACCCCGCTGTGATGCTCAGCAACGACTGGGACCCGCTGTCACCCGTTGTCAAAGAGATGGAGGCCATGATCACACAGGTAGGGATGGATCGATTCTCATCGGGTACGGTGCATCATGTGGTTTGTGTGTCCTTGGTTTGTGCCGTGGCGTGGCGTGCGTGCAGGTGGTGCCAGGTGCTGAGTTGCTCGAGGTGCACTGGCGGGACGTCTACCCACTCCACTCCAGATGTGCTGCCGCGTACTCGTGCGGCAACGCTTTCATCGTCGGTAAGCACAACAGCAGACGACAGGACCACTCCCGACACGCCTTGAGACACCAACCCTTCTCTGTGGCTGTGCAGGTGATGCCGCCCACTGCGGGCCGCCCCTCGGCTACCAGGTGCAGTGGTTGAAGCGAGCTCAGACTTGGGGGCTGTGTACACTGTACACATAACGGCCACCCAAGTGTTCTCAGTGTGTACAGTGTGTTCTTTTACCAGGGTCTCAATGTGGGCATGCAGGACGCCATGAACCTCGCGTGGAAGCTGTCATACGTCCTCAAGGGGGCCTACACATCGCTGCTCGAGACATACGACCAAGAGAGAAGGCCGCTCGGAGGTGAGGGCAAAGACACAACGACACACATGCACATGGGGGGGATTTCATCATAATGTGTGTGTAGAGCTGATGGTACGCTATACGTCGATGGGTTTCAAGGAGCTGGTGGAGGCCAAGCCGAACACCTGGAACACGTGGGTCCTCAAGGCCATCCTGCCGCACCTGTTCAAGCCACCCTGCGTCACTCGAGCGCTCTCCAAAGCCATGGCCAACACCGAACTCAGATATCAGCAGGACAAGTATGTACAGACAGACAGGCACACATACACGTGTCATCCTCGGCTGCATGTCCTTGTGTTTTTCGCCTGCATTGGTCAGCATGTTGGTGGGTCGGAGTTTCATCGGCCAGTCCAATGTGCTCTCGTGCGCCATACCGCCTGGCAAACGGGCACCTGATGCCATCATCGGAGTGGTCAGGAAGGACGCGCAAGAGCCGAGAATCCCAGCCAACACACACAGACACGTGTCCTTCCTTGATCAGGTTGATGAGAACAACAACCTCAAGTCGACGCGGCTGCACCAGATCATCCTGCGCACCTCATACACACTCATACTGGCCGCGTGCGTCCCCCTACCGCCCGACAGCGCATCGGCGGGCATGCTCGGCACTTGCTCCGTGTGCTGCGACCCATCCACCGGCTGCCTCCTGCCGTGGGACCCCTGCGAAGACCCTGTGGCACCCGGCACACCCGACAACATCAGTACGGCTCTCAACCCTACACGAAAGCCACATATACATGGTCTTGATTGCCGTGTATCTTCCTTCCGTGATAGTGAGCAAGACGATGCTGTATCTGATCAAGACGGCGACCAACGTGATGCAGCGGCTGGGCACCGTCTCGGCCACATCGCCGTCAGGGGGAGTCCGGTCGGTGCTGCTGCTGTGCCCTCAACACCCCTCCCTCATGCCGCAGCTGGAGGGCACGGCGCTGTCGGAGGTGTTCAAGCAGGTCAGTGGCCTGTGATGGTGGGTGAAGGACATGGCAGACAGTATGTGAGGGGACATTGCAGGTCAGGATGAAATTCGAACACACCATGGGCAGCGCCTTCTCGACTATGGACCTCGAGATGGGGTCAGTGAGCGAGGGAAAAACCAGACGTGGTTGGAAAAACCAGACGTGGTTGGCGGAAATGCGGGTCTGGTTTGTGTGTGTTTAGGTGGGATCTGAAGGGCGAATTCAAGCGCAACTACAAGCTCGGTATCTCGATGCCCAAACACCCGGGGGCGTTCGTGCTCATACGGCCTGACAACATCATATCGCACAACGGTACGACGGTTCGCACACACTGACACTGACATGGGGAACAGGACAACGCACACACCCTTTTCGGTCTGCTGCCTGTCGTTCAAACAGGATATACGGGTGACTGTTCGGCCGTCCACTATATGCTCGAGTCACTGAATAACTTCTACTGACACACACACACACAGGGAGGGACGGGAGAGGGAGGGAGGTATGGGCGTGTGCATGTAACATGGCTGCCTACTCACTCGCTCTGCCCGTCCGTCCCCGTCCTCCCCCCCCC